ATATATATATATATATATATATATTCTCCTCTGTTTGTACCTTTGAAAACAAAAAAATTGAAAGACAAATGTAGTAACTGTCTAATAAAATGAAAATATCCAATAGCTTTAATGTGCAATAAAAAAAAGCTATTATATAAAGATTAAAAAAAACCCGGTTATGGTTTTTTTGTGTTCTAGCACCATCTAGTGGCCATAAAGTCTAACAACCTAAAGAAGGGTAAACTGTCTTGTTGAGAGCATCAAGAATTTTTGTTTTACAAATGGGTATTAGAATAATCCCAGAAAATGTATAAAATTTATAGTTTAAATATAACTTTTTATTTATGTCCTTTAAACATAATTCAGTTGTCAAGAGTATTATTTATGAAGTAGGTTGTTACCTTGCAGGCTGGCTGGGGTAGTGAGAGCGGATGTGTTGACCCAGCATGACTTGAGACTGGTCCTGGAGGTTCTCCACTTGTTCTGGATCCTTTAAACCTCGTGTCTCTGTTTGCGTAAGCAGACCGCATATTTCAGTACAAAAAAATTCACTACTTTTACTTCTATCTCTGTCTTAATGACTTTCTGCTTTGACCCATACCTGGCTTGAAGAGCACAATTGCCTTGAGACAAGCAAACTCTGTGGGGTCGACAGCGAGGGCCTTGAAGCGGCTAAAGACCTCCTGCAGGAGGCGCAGGTCTAGGCTGGTATAGCTGGTTTTGCCCTGCATGCCAGGACAGAGGTCAGGCAGGGAGAGCAGAGGGCAGCTGTCCAGCGGCAGAGACCACTGAATGGCGCAGAGCAGGAAGAGTTCACTCCATGCCTCCTCCAGCAGGATTACCTGTGTGTGGGGAGCACAGTTTGTTAGTTCTCTGTAGAAACTGAAGCTTTTATCATTGCTCTCCATCAATTGTTTAATTTCTACTTGTAGTTCTAATATGTTCAAAAAGTTCCCATCACTTATAAAGCTGTTCAAAATTTATTTTAGAAAAATATAATAAGGAATGACTGAATTATTGGAATATTTGATATTATTTTTGAATTAATGCACAGAAGGTTTTCTAATAAAAAAATGTTGGAAAATTAAATAAGAAAGTAAAACAACCAATACAATATAGAAGTGATAAGACAGTGGAGAGAACAATAGGTTTAGGTTTTATTTAGGGTTATGTTTTTAAAGATAAAAAAATAAAAATATATGTTTAAATACTTCATGTAAATGTTCAATGTTTTGTCTTTAGATGTAATTTTTTTTAATGTATTTTAGACACTATTGTTTCTTGTGTGATGCTTTGCTATTCAGCAGTTATTTAACATTATAAGCAGATTTTTTTTTTCACCTAAAACTTTTATTTGTCTAAAGTTCACATGTAAACCAGAAAAAAAAAAAACCCAGATGATCAGGCAACTTATTCTCCTTTAAGCTTTAAAAACCTGTGGTTTGAATCTCACCTGGTCTCTGAAGGGCAGGTTGGAGAAAACAGGCAGGTTCTTGGCCCATTTCACCGACATGAAAAGCAGCCTGGCTGAGGTCTCATAGACGTTCTCTGAGCTGGACGGGTACAGAGCCATGTGGTACTCTGAGGATGCCCTCTCTGGCTCATTGCTCGTCACATCAATGTTTTCATCGACTGAAACCAGACAGACGGGGTTTAGACTCCAGATAACTTAAGAATAAAACAGATTCTGCAGCGAGAACCAAACTTTAGGAAGATTCATTTTTGTGTAGTTTGGCTTATAATTTGTTTGGATGATTTTAAGAAAAAAGCAGATTTTTTTTCTGTTCTGTTTGCCTCTTTCATCCACTGATTCACTGTTCTCACTGTGTGAGAAACTCCAAATGTTACTTTTAGTGACATTTAGCTTATCTTGCCAGTGGTTCTGTTTGCAAAACTCTTGTAAATGTTACCCCTGGGTGTGTTTCCACCTCACCGTCCTCGGGCTCCAGCTTGGCGCAGGTCTCGGCAGTCATGAGGCTGGCCATGAAGCGGTGGTTGTTCTGGGGGCTTACACAACCCTGGGGGGCCACAGAGGAGGTGATGGACATGGAGGAGGTGATGTGCGGCCATGTGATGACAGAACCACTGGAGGCAGAAGAGGAGGAGGATGAAGAGGAGGATGAGGAGGAGGTGGGCTCCCGTGTGGTGGCCAGGTGCTCCTTCTCAGGGTCCACATCGATGGAGTCCAGACGGACCTGAGCTGTGCTGCGAGGTTGCCGCTCGTTCTGCACGGCTGAAGAGGAGAATTAAGTCATTTAAGGAAAAACTGTTGCTGAAGTTTTACCAGGTTTGAGTTTGGAACATTAGAAGCTTACCGTCTTTGTTCATGCCTGCCTGCAGGCACTTCTTCAACCGACACGCCTGGCACTGGTTCCGATGAGCTTTGTCCACTGGACACATCCCAGTTCCAGCCTGGCACCTGTTGACCCAGAGTCAGGCTGTTAAATGGAGGCTCCACACCGATAAAATGGCTTACCATCTCCCTCCAGACTCATATTTTATTAATCAACAGCTTTAAAGGGGTATAAATGAAAATAAACACATATTTTTATTCCTCTTGATTTAATTAAACCAGAAAAGTCCAACATTTTTTATTTTATTGTTTAGATTTTGATAAACTTAAACTGAGTAACTTTTATTGTAACTATAAAAAAACTCAATCTCTGAACTAAAAGCAAATGCTTGGAACTCAGGAAATAAAAGTTTTTTCTAAAAACTAATGTAAATAATAATTTTAAAACATCATTTTAAAACAGGTAGGCTATAGCTATTTATAGTTTTAGGGATAAAGGAAAATGCTCCTTTATGTTTAAAAGAAACTGAACTTGCATTATATTTGATGTTTTTCTGATAAAACTTAACCAGTTTCATTGATTTCTTTTTACAATTCTTCAATAGTCATATTTAACCCATAATTCTTTACATGTTTAGTGCCGGTTTATTGCACTGAACATAAGTTCTGTGCAGTAAAATATTGAATATGATTTACTTGTTGTATAATTTTATTTTTCCATACACAACCAGTAAACACCAGCTTTTGTTTAACAAAAGTTTTTCTGGAAGATTTATTTTTTGTTTTTGTTTTTTTGGAGCTGTTCTTGCCTGTAGATGAGTCTTCTCCTCACGCTGCGCTTGAAGAAGCCGCTGCAGCCGTTGCAGGCATAGATGCCATAATGCTTCCCACTGCTGGTGTCTCCACACACTTTGCACACCAGAGCTGGACTCAGGGCTTTTCCTGGAGCTGGACTCTTGGCTGTGAGTCAAACAAAAAAAAACACAAAGCCGCTGTTCAGTTATGGTGCCATTCATCCTGGGTCTGGGTATTGTTTCATACACAAGCCTGCCATCTGTACCAACAGTCAGATACAACTTTGCAGCAAAAACAACAGTCTGTCTAATCTATGAATTACACATCCATCTTTTAATCAGAAATTTAAGGAATTCTATTTGTTGAACTTTATTATTAATTTACATTCATATGTTCCATGAGTAAATTTCTGCCGTGAATGAAAGCAGATTAAAAAAAGATCAAGTTGAAAAATGGAATTTCAACATCATCTTTCAGCATCAAGTGATGCATGGATGCAGAAATAAGTGCAGCTAAAACAATGAAACTCATTTAAAATTATTTTTCTAAATCAACTTAAACAATTTAGAATGACAGTTTTTCTTTTAATATGTTTGTTCTTTGTTATAAGCGTGCATTATTATGTTTTCTTTTTATTATCTTAGACGCGGGGCTAAAATATTTAATATTTTCTCCTTTTTTCATGCCAATAAACGAATGCTTATCAAAAGATTTTTAAGTTTCCACATTTGGTTGATATTAAAGCAGCTTGTAAGGATACCATGTTAAGTATTTTAGGCTGAAAAATGTATTTTGTTTTATTGGAAAAATGTCTAAAACAAATAAGAAGTGATGTAAAAAAAAAAAAAAATAGAATAGAGAGATATTTAAATTTTCCATTAAAAAGCCTAGCCTTTGTTAGCTGTTAATATATTAATTATGATCACCTTTATGGGTTATTTAAGACGTGCAAAATAAACATTCAGTTAATAAACAGATGGAATTTGTTTGGTTTTGCACTAAGCACCATGCTTACATCCCATCCTTAAGGCCTCATGGAGACCTGTTGCTGAAGCTGACTTGTGGCCTTCTTACCTCCTCGGCTCTCCTCTGTCCCACCACTGCCTGAGGAATCAGTTGGAGAAGCTGACGGTATCATGGGGATCTTCGAAAGGTGATCCTCCATATTTTTTCACTGGAAATCTTACAAATGAAAAAGCGTTTCTCCCTCTTCTTTTGAGTTTAGAAGATAAAAAAAAAACAAAGGCCTAAATGTTGGGAAGGTGGGCTGCCTTCACTGCTGTGCTGGGATGCAGATGAAGAGGTTCCCTGTCATGAGTTTCAGCCAACACTTGTGGAGCATCAACAGGTCTGTGTATCCTCCCTGCTGGGAATGTCGCCGTCTGCGTGTCCACCTCGGCAGCAGGTCCTCAAAAGGGAGCCCGAGGGGTGGAGGGGTGGAGGATTAAGCCCCAAGCGCTGTGTAAGCAGCATGCCTATTTGTCATCCTCTTAATCTTTACTGTTCATCTACTGGATCAATCAGTCACATTGGCAGAACGTTGGTGCCGCTCAAACATGGACCTTCACTGAGTCTGCAAACAGAGGCTGAATGAATAAAACCACAGCTGATTCCTTTTGCTGCTGCAGGAGTTGTAACTTTAGACCAGCTCTCCTCATGTCTCCTCATGTCCACATCAGTCAACACTTCTCTTCACTGCCTTAGTTTACAGGACTGATCAAAGGAGACTTGGATTATTATACTAACCTGCCTCTACAATTTGTTTTCCCCCTCCCAGATTCAGCTCCCTGTCCCGCTGCTGTATATTTGATCTATGTGATTGCTTCTTATTCATAATGAACCCCTGTGTTTGGAAAGGAGCTGCCTATTAACTCCTATTTCCTCCAGTTTTTATAGATCATCCACTCTCTCCCCTTTAACCTGTCCACAGGAGAATAGGCCAGAGAGGGAATAATAGAGTTTGGAGAGGTTACTGATTTGGCCAACTCTCATTTGGATTATTAAAAGGGATTCCCTATGTATTATTAAAAAACTGTTGACATGAGAGTTTTTGAATTTACATATGAAATGAAACCTAGAGAGGCAGCATGCCGGCTTTTTTGCTGCAAAGTTTAAGTTTATGTTGGATAATATTGTGGAAACAGAGAAGATCACACATCTGTAATTTGCTCTTTAAGCAATTAGGCGGTTATTTATTATCTCACTGTGTCATAGTCATCTGTGACCTTTCTTTGCATTTTGTTACATTGTTAATAATAAGCTCAATTTTACAGTATAAATGTTTTAAGGCAGGTTTCATTTATTTTTTTAAACTAACCTGAGACAGGGTTTTATAACACTATTGCTGATATGATCTACAAGCTGCACCAACCAGCACCTTAAGTCCCCATCAGTTACAGTAAAGTGTGGTCTTTGTGACCACAGAGGGGGAGGGAATTAAGTCTTTGAGTGGTTTTGCAGGTGACAGGATATTCTACTTCACACAAGTATGTTTTATTAGAATTATGACAGCAGGTGAAATTTTATTTTTGAATAAGTGTAAAAATCAAAAAATAAGAAAAGTTCAATATGTGATATCTGAGGAAACATTACCTGCAAAGCCTCAGACTCCTTTGAGATAATACTTTGAAGATGTCCATGCACATTTTGGACATCTGATGTTAAAATGTCAACATAATGAAATCAAACCCGCATACAAGAAAAAGCTCAGAGATTTTCTAAATACTGTTTCTATATATTTTCCTCCTGAGCTGCCAGGCGGTCTCTCTCTTGGTCTTAATCTGTAATTTTTCAGACTTTCTAAACACATTTCCATTCATTCTCTGGCCACTCATTTTAATAACCATGGTAGAAAACTCCCACATCATCTTACATTTATCCATTTTCTCCTGCTTAATCCTTCTCACTGGGGGCCGGTGCCTTTCTCTGGCAATCTACCGGCGAGAGGCGTGGTACACTCTGGATAGGTCGCCAGTCCATCGCAAGACAACACAGTGACACACAACCATGCACACACATACCTAAGGACATTTTAGAGAAGCCAACTCACCTTACAGTCATGTGTTTGGACTGTGGGAGGAAGCTGGAGTACCCGGAGAGAATCCATGCATACACAGGGAGAAAATGAAGACCCTGGGCCAGGAATTGAACCCAGAACGTTCTTGCTGCAATGCAGCAACGCTACACACTATTCTACTGTGCAGCCCAGTCTTACACTCATCCACAAAATATTAGAGACTAGTTAGCTTTGTTAACATTCTGTTTTGGCATCAGTTTTAACCCTAGACTTAGAATCATCAAAAACATTAACTAAGGGGCGTGCAGGTGTTGCAGCGGTTAGCGTGCACGACCCATGTACGGAGGCCTAGTCCTCGACATGGCCAACTGGCTTCGACTCCGACCTGTGGCCCTTTGCCGCATGTCTCTCCCCCTCTCTCATACCCCCTTTCCTGTCAGCCTGCTGTGGAAAAAACGTGCCACTGGTGCCGCAAAAACCTTAAAAAAAAAAAAATATTTGCCAAAAATGCTTTCTTATTCCTAATTAAAATAATCGAATAAAATAATATTGAAATAACAAATGACTAAACATATTTCTTATCAAACATATTCACAGAAAATCAGCCTTTTTTGATATACATACAATATAGTTTGTGTGCAAATGGCAAGACTTACTTCACTTTTGTTGCATTGCTGGTTAAAAAATGGATTGTCTTCATTAAATAAAGTAAATAAATAGTTTTAATCTAGTAAAAGTATAAAGTATGGCAAAATGAAACTATTCCTGTAAGTAAATATAACTCAAAAACTTACTCCAGTTAATGTAAATACTGGAACCACTTACAACCACATCTTATTGGTCTCTATCAGATGCTTAATGTCATTCAGCAAGTACTGTATTCGAGGCAGCATCCATTTTCAGTCTCAAACTCTCTTCATAATTTAATTCACAAATAGGTATTGGAAATTCATTTAGAACTATATAACCTGACACATCTGTCTTCTCATCTTGTCATTCTCCTCCAAATCAAAACATAACATTTGTTCTTGTAGATTATAATTAATGTTGAGGTTGGTGCACTTTAGCCCCTCAACAACAGGTCCAAATCGTAATTGGAAAAACAAAGTGGAAAACAGTTAAGTGGATTAGAGTTTGACCATGTTTTGTCTGCCGGGGCCTCGACCGCCGTCACCATGAAGCACTTGGAGTAAGATAAAGGGGGGGAAGAGACACAATTAGCTCAAAAGATTAAAAGAGCAGTGAAGACACACTTCTTGTGAGCATGTTTAGCCATATGGTGGCTACTCTTTTCATCCTTGGTTGGGACATGGTTGACCTTTGGGAGATTTAGCAGTTAATTAGTCTTTCGAGGTCAGCAGTCTAAAGGGGGTTTCCACAAGGATTCACCCAATTACACACTGATCGCTGACATGAATGGTGACTTTGTTTTTCTTAAGCAGATTTTTTCTCCCCCTGCTTTGCTTTTCTTGAGGGTCTGTCCATTATATTGCTTATTTTCAGCATCCATCTTCATTTTTTTGAATATGAGAACAAGTTGTTTAGATGTTTTAGCAATGAGCCACAAGCAGAACCAAACTGCCCCCCTCAGATGAAAGGATGTTGGTTAGGATGTTCAGAAAAAAACTTAAGGTCGCCTATAAATGAAGCCTATATGAACTGGAAAGTGAGGAGTAAGCACCGTCCTTCTCAATATTGAAGTTAATATAGCATTTAAATAAAGGAGCTCATGTCTCATAATTAACAGAAACAACAAATTTTGAAAGCATACTTTTTAAAGTTTAAGTTTAATGTCAGAAGATAAAAAATGGGATGTTTGACAAAAAATTGTTAACCTTTAAAACTTAACAAGGTTAAACCATCTGTAAAGAATGGTGGAGGTAGTATCATGCTGTGGGACTATTGGGATAATAAAGAAGTAATTAATCACCTTAAATTAGTAGCTGGATCGAGGGTCTGCAAGCTATGGCTCTGGAGCCCAAGGTAACTTATTGGACCTTCTGAAATTGTTTTAAGAGCATTTTTTATCATCAAACAAAAAATAGAATACTGATGGATATAAGATTATGTCTTTAGCAGTTTGTAAGATTTCAGGGAATAACTGCATACATTTTTCAAAATGAATTTACACTACTGCTAATATTTTTCTCATCATTGGTCGTAAAATATGCTTTTTCCATCACTTTCCACACATATCAACATCCCACAGAAGAAATATAGATATAACTGTTGTTCTTTTCAAAACTAAATACCTTTAGTAGCTATCATAAAATCCTAAACTATAATCTTTAAAAGATCATGTATCATTCCCAGCTCTAAAGTTTTATTTTTCTGGTCTACATGATTTAGACATGAACATGTTTGGGGTTTGCAACATAAGAAAAGGATTCCAAACACATCAAAGTGATATTAGATGGGATGATGGAGGTTAACATGTTTTATTTTAGCACCGTTGCTTTGCAGCTCATGAGTTTGAATCCAGGTTCAGCTTCTTTTTGCATATTCTTCCAATGCATGCGAAGGTTTGCACTGGGTACATTGCCCTAAGATGTGTGTGAATGTGTGGGTGTGCATGGTTGTGTGTCTGTGTGTCCCACATGGATACATTAGTTCAACAGATGGGTGGAAGAAACTTGACAGGATCTATAGAAATTTGTTGTGAAATTTGTTCACAAAGCTTTGCAATATATGTTTAAAGAAATGGTTTAAATGTGTTAATCCTCTTTACAATTAGAAAGAAAAAAAAACTAAATAATTACTTTTGTTTACATTTCTTTCATTATATTTATTATTCGTGGGGGGGAAAAGAAAGGCATCTAGCAAAAATATATGCTGTAATTTTTTGCAGACTAATTTTGGCGTGAACAGAGGGGTGTGGCCAATGGACATTGAAACCACATCTTTTAAAAAACAAATCTTTGAAATCAAATTGGGCTGACTAAATTATAAGTGCATTTATTCACATTTTCTAATAAATAATGAAGCTTTAATTTAAATGCAATTTACCAGCTGTCCCTTTAAATATTTTATGAGGATTTTTTTATTGCTCTATGGTTTATTAAAATCTTGCATGTAAAGAAGCTGGACCTCAGATATTCTCAATATTAAATGTGAGATGTAATTACACCGCATCATGTGTGGGTATTTGATACGACTAAATATTAATCTGAGCTTCATAAATTTTGAATCTTCTGCTGTTTTAGATGATTTGTGTGAAGGTTTTAGTTATGTTCTCTATTAACCTGTTCCCCAACACTCATTATATGTCTATATTGAAGGCTCTTCTCCTTCTAACATTTATTCATGATATGCAAACTGACTGTAAGGTGCATTGCATTGCAGGATGGACATGAAATTGGTGCAAAACAAAAAATAGGATTGAGTTTCTAATAAATTGACAATACTTTTTGCCTCTGAAGCAAGATTCCTTATTATATAAAAAATGAATAATCCAACAATATCTTCAACAAGATATCAAATCACGAACTCTGATAAACTCTGATTTTGCTATGACTTTTGATCAACGTCAACAGTAATCAAAAATCTGTAAAGTGTTTTCTCATAAAAACTGCTGCTCTTATGTGTGAAGGATGATGGATTT